GCACGCACGCACGCACGCACGCACGCACGCACGCACGCACGCACGCACGCACGCACACACGCAGAGTAATAAGCCAGGAACTATTTTCTTTAATAAATTGTATCAATACTTTCACAGTCTTTTACTGACTTGATTTCACTTGATACTCACACACTTGATCGATAGAATAACTTATTTACGAACTAATTTATTAGTTTGTTACTATCAATCACTATCGATTAATTATTCGATGATTAAAAATGACTTGAAAGAAAGAAATACACATTACATGTAATCATAGTAATCCATCAGAAGTTTTCTTTTATAAATTGTCAACATGTTCACGGATTTACTCACGCGCTTGATCGATAAAATCATTTATGAACAAATCTATCGGGTCACTACTATTAATCACCACTGGTTAATTATCCCGCCAATTGAAAATTATTACAAAAAACGCGTTACAGCGCACGTAACTCGTTGCGGACTCTGCTCGATGACAACAATCAGACAGATTATGTTCTTACTCCAGTAAAATGCATTAATTCGCCAAGTGATAATAACGATCTAACTTATCGACCTAATGTAATGTAAATCAGATCGATAATTCAGCATATTGTTGTACCCCGGATGGGCTACAACGTTAATTTTTAGAGATAGTCGGGTTCGTTAAGCCTAAGGAGTTGGGACTCCGAGCAGGATCAAACGAATGGAAGGAAATCTTCTAGAAATCACTAACACACTTTCTTTATGATACTTGATTTATTTAACAACTGCACAATTTCTTGGATTTAATTATTGCTCATATTATTTCTTTCACACACGGTTAAACGTCGGCGGGCGCGTATCGCGTTACTCCGGCGGCCGTCGACCGGGTATGTCACCTGAGACGTTGATAGTACGGCTCGCGTGAACTTCGCTGTGCTCGTGTAATATCTTGCGCGATAATTATAATAACGATTCCGAACGACACGTTATGTTTGATTGATTCCCGACTCTGCCTATTCCGTCTTGTATAATCGGTTATATAGTCTGATCGATGCCCGGTCAGCATTCTAATCGATTGCGTCGATCGGTTGCGTGATATTGATTAATCAATATTACGCTCGATTTGATCATCAAATTTAGGAATTTGCTGATCAGCTTTTTCGCAATGTTCTCGCGATGCATTTCTGCGGTCTTTCGAAAGACTGGTCGCGATTTCGGCGATCACACATTTGTGTAATCTTTCGAAAGACTTTTCGAGGTTCGTGCAACCTAATTTTGTTGCCATGCGGACTGCTTTTATTATTGATTGTAGGCCTGGCTACAACAATATTATCATGATGCAGCGCGTTAATGATCGATAGTGAAACGCTTCGAACGCTTCGTAATACCAAGTAATAATAGATAAGTTCGATAGATAATATCGGCATATAATGTCCACCTGTCGAACATAATTTGAGAACCGCGCACCGCTATCGGCGACAGACCGCGACGTTCTATTCGACGGAGGAGGCGGAGAGGAGACATCGATCCCCCACTGTATAAATAAGGTGAACCGATCGATACTTCAATCAATAAACCGTCGACTGTAGGACATTCTCAGAGCGACATCGACACTTCAATCAACAAATCTCCGATTATTAAAACGTTCTTATCAGAACGACATCGAGATTTCAATCAACAATTCTCCGATTATTAAAACGTTCTTATCAGAGCGACATCGATACTGCCTCAATAATTCTTTGATTATTAAAACGTCCTTGTCAGGACAATATCAACAATCTTTCGATTTTTAAAACATTCTTGTCAGGACGATATCGATATCTCACTCTTTTGATTATTAAAACATCGTTGACAACATCGTTGAACGATATGGCAGTCTACCCGAATGAAGAGTATTACGACATGATGATGGTACTTGGCGAGTGTCAAAGACAATATTCACGTTGCTGTGAGGAGATACGTCGAATTATATCCAAACCGAGCAAGACATCCAAGACCTAGTGTTATATTTGAAGCGGATCAAAGATTATATGAAACCGGAAGCGTGTTACCAAAAAGAAAGGACATTGGCAGATATCGTGTTGCAAGAAATTTACGAAACGTGGAAATCCTTCGTGCTGTTGAGCAAGAACCTGAAACTAGTATTCGGGAGATTTCTCGAGAGCACGAATTATCTTATTCCACCATCCAAAGAATACTCAAAGAAGAAAAATTACATGCCTATCATTATACTCGCGTGCAACATTTGCGACAAGAAGATTATCCTCGGAGAAAGAGATTCTGCGAGAATTTCCTAAGAAGAATAGACAAAGATCGAGAATTTCCTTCTCGTATAATATTCAGATGAATCGTTGTTCACACGAGAAGGAATTTTAAATTCGCATAATATGCATATGTGAGATGACGAGAATCCTCGAGCGATTCGACTCAGAAATTATCAAGTTCATTGGAAACTAAATGTCTGGGCTGAGATTATGGGTACAAAAATTGGGTCCAGTTATTCTTTCAGAAAGATTAAATAGCGCATCGTATTTGGAATTTTTATCAGAAAATCTGCCGGACTTTTTGGAAGAGATACCATTATTAAACAGAAATAAAATTATATTTCAACAGGACGGTGCTGGTCCACATAACGCCAGAATAGTCACAGACTTTTTAAATCAGCAATTTCCTGGTCGTTGAATGGGCCGGTATGGATCGATACGTTGGCTTGCAAGATCCCCAGACCTCAATTCATTAGATTTTTTCTTGTGGGGATACTCATTTACAGACAGGAAATCAAGAAAATCATTTACAAGGAAATCATTTGCAGACATCTTCCAGAGAATGTCGAAGAACTAAATAACTTCACCATGCCATTTGGTCAATCGACAACGAAGTTATGGGAGAAAACCCAAGAAAATTTACTGAAACGCATGAGAGCTTGCATCAGAATGGACGGCGGATATTTCGAACATTTATTATGAAAAGAAAAGAAGTCTTCTATAATAATTTATCTGCCCTTTTCAGGGCAACCAAATATTTATTTCGAGGGACATTCTCTTCGAGTTCACAAATTATTAAAAAAAAATCAACAAAAAATCAAATCAATTATGTTCGACAGGTGGACATTACCTGCCGATATTATTTATCGAACTTATCTAT